ATTAGAAGGCTGTTTCCCAGGGTGTTCCTTCCTTCAGACTGGGCTGTTATTAGCACAGTGTAGAAAAGGGAAAGCCTACTTTGCAGTCTCAGCTAGAGATATTTTAACCCAACTAGAGCTTATTTTTATCACTCTTCCGCTTCCATAGCTGTTTGTTCAAGCCTTATCTTTTCTTTAAACAGAGGCTTTCATCTCAGAAGATCCCAAATACACCTTGCAGGGGTATTTGGCAGCTTTTCACTATTGTTTCTTCACAGAAATTGAAGAAAAACTTTGTTTACAGTCAACTGAAAAGCTGTGGTGCAACAGCACCAGCTGCAGAGCCACCATATGCAGCACTGCAATTGCTTGGGTGGTTTTGAAAACCTCTTGAGTGTCTTGCTGTGTCACAGGGATCACTGTGTGTATAGATATATATTTTTTTCTTCTTTTTTCAATTGATTATATCTGCCATTCTTTCATTTCCAGAAGTGTAAAACCATGTTTGTAAACTTCCAAACAATGTCTACAGGTTTTGCATCTCCCTTTGGCCTCACTGGGGGCTTTAAAACCTCTGGTAGACCACAGTAGTTTTATGATGGAAGTTTTTTGTGCAGGTATGAAATCAGACTCCTTGCCCAAGACTTCCATACTTAAAAATGTTTTGCTTCACTTGTAGCTCACAAGCATTGATGTTGTGTTAGGCTGTGCAAGAACTGCTGACTGAATGTTTCACAACGGTCTAGGAAAGACTGAGATGAGAAGAATCATGTGAAGCAGGAGCTGAAGTGGGGCAGAGCTGAGCATTTTTAAATATTTCAAATATTTAATCACTCAAGCAGCAAGCCCTAGGTTTGGGATGGCACAGATCAAGGAGGAGGTTTATCAAATTTCACAGCTTTTTCAAAATTCTCTTTCAGTCTGTGGTGGGAGAGGGGTAAGGAGCAGCCCTGTTGAGTTTAGATGTTCTCTTAGCCGAGATGGCAGATGTGATAATGTGCTCCGAAATATCTCCTGTGACAGGGCTGGGTGCCTGCCTGCGATTCTGCCTGCAGGAGGAAATTACTTCCAGCAGCCTTTTCCCAGTCAATCATTTGTCTGGTGTAGGGTGAGGAGGCAGCCTTGGAGAAACAGCTAAAACTCTTAGACCTCCCTTCTCCCTTCCCTTAATGTTTCTGGCAGCGATCCCTGACACTTTGAAACGAGAGCTGATAAATAAGTGCAAGGTGACTTGCAGGTTGGCTGTATTTACACAAGAATATTTTTTCTGGTGTGGCTAGGTAGCTGGTGGTACAAAATGAAGTAATTTCAAGGCATTAGATATAGAAATATTCCCCCCTCCACATTTTCTCTCCCAGAGAGCTCCACAGCTTCAGTAAGAAGGGAATAATTGAAGTATTGGGACTCAGTGTGCTAGAACAGAAATAGTTTGCTTGTAGCTATTGGTCCAGAAGACCTTGGCCTGTGGCATGCCAATCAATGCCATGTTTCATAGGATGAGGTGAGAGGCCATGGAAATCTTTCTTGTTTCCTTGCACCATGAGGCATGAAATCTGATTAGTCTTGTCCTCCTATAATTGTGATTTACAGTCCTAAAGCTGGCAATGTGTTCCCAAAAGACCACCTGTATCCATGCAATGCAGTGAGTGAGAGCATGCTGGAAAGGGTTTTCCCAGCCCTTCGGAAACATAAAGCAATGAAATCTAGTGTCCTTGGACATCAACTTCTGGTTAAATTCTAGGTGCCCAACTGAACTATCCTTCTCGAGCACATATGTACCCCATGGAGGAAAATCAAGGTCCTGCCATTGACCATGGCAGATAATACAAGTATCACAGAGGAACAACTTTTCTGAACACCTAATTTACAAACGCAATTTAAGTGATTAAGTTAAGTACACCAAATCCTATGATATGAGCTTTGTCCCCTCCGGTGTGGCAGTCTGGTTGTGAAGGAAGGGACTCCACAGTTCACACATAATAAAATATGTAGGATCCCATATTTCATGCATAATAAAATACATGTGCACACATAATAAATATACAGATTTTTATGTGTGAATGTCCAGCATTGATAGCTGGAAAATAACCCTTGAATATGGATACATGTAGCAACATTTGAAAGGTGGTTAAATTAGCTAGCGTTTAATTGGGACTCTTGATGGTAACCACTGAAGGTCTGGGTTTTAAAAAATTTAGAAATAACATTGTCTACTGATTTTTTTGCCATGGTTATTGAGGCAAATTGGGTATTTACTGTGCAAATGGCCACTGTCCATCAGTGGGAAATGGCCTGCCGACTGGAGATAACAAGGGGACCTAACCTTGTAGCCTCTGGCTGGCAAACCCTAATTAAAATGCAGCCCCATCCTCTCTGTGGAATGCTGTTTCCAAATGCTCATATTCAAGCAGCATAACCTCATTCATCAGGCATTCCCCTTGCCCAGAGAACAAATTTCTTTCAAATTGGTACAGAGATCTGCTACGGAGGTCTTTTTGCTCCATGACAAAGGCAATGGGACCCACACAAATGGTTTTGGGCTGAGGAGAGAGGTGGAAAACTTGCAGTGGTGTTGGGTGCTGCAAGTCCCCAACAGCTGAGCTCTGTGGTTTAAAAGAAAAAAAAGACTGAGGGAAGGAAGGGAGAGTCTGCTTTATCTTGAGAGGAATGCAGCGTTATTTCTCTGCTGATTCACATTTCTTTTGAGACTTGCTAATTGCAACATCTCTCAGTAAGTTACTTACAGCAGAACTGCTGGGGAGAAATTGTGATAAATGCATAAACTGTGTCTTATTGATTTTTGTTGACATTTTACATGCTTCTTATGCATTCAAAACCTCCATTCAGTAATTGTCACTATGGTACACACTCCTGGATAATGAGAGCCAAAGAAGTGAATGAAGCAGTTTCTTGACCATTATCAACAATATTATTCAAGGCTCTGTATGGGGTTCCTTGCCTGCCCTCTAGTATATCTCTATTTGTGCTCATCCCCATGGAATTTTCAGGATGAGAAATGGAAACCCTTGGTGTTATTTCCTCTGGTAATGGTAATAACAGAAATCGTATTAAAAGAGATTACTTTGATGGTAAATTTGGGCCTCTTTAATTGTAGTGCACAGCAGCAATATGGAATCTAGCAGAGGTACTGTGGTTTATTTACCCTTCTACTGCACATTTTGTCTAAGATTGCTGTACAGAAAGCTGGTTCGTTACATCATTTTCTTTGACACAAATTTGTTGCTGAACAAGAATAGTACAGTGACATGTAGTGTGGCTAAACAGTAGTAAAACATAATCAACTGCTATGTTACCTAAGAAATACATGGAGTCAAACACTGCCATGAAGTTTGGGTAAAAGAATTCTGACTTCTGATTTTATGATGCTTACCTGTCACCCAGAGGTACATAAGCCAGTTTAGGTTCTTTTGAATCAAGGGCATTTAGATTAAAGACTTTAAAAAATACTGCATGATGCAAAAATGCATTGACTTTATTTTCATGATTAGATGTAGTGCTTTTGGGTAATGATCAGGCATTGCTTTCTCTTACTGTTGTTTGATTAAAATGTGAATGCAGTCTTGACTTGATAATCTTACCAGGTACACACGGAGCTAAAAAGAAAAGGTGTTTTATGCCTCAAATTGATTTGCATAAACCAAACAATCTGTTGCTTGTTGGATTGCAAAATGGTTTATTTTGCCCATTGGCCACAGGGGCAACAATATTGTATTTTTGATGCCAGAATGTAGCTTTCATGCATTAGCTCTAAAATGACAATATGCTTTAGCCTCTCAGTGCTTAGATCTGCTTCATTTGGAAATCTTTTAAGTAGTAATAATAATAATGTTTTGAGGAAATTGAGTGGAACACTAAATTATTCTCTGAAACCTAAGTTCAAACTGTGCAAGGCTAAGGGAGCTGAAAATCAATGCACTTTTAAAGTCATTAGAGATCACAAGTGAAATAAGTCTGTGTTGCTTTAGCTAAGCTTTTAGTGTGCCATGGTATTATTACAAAATCAGCCTGAATCTGCATTAATTTCACAGTCTTTTTCTTTAAGATGCCCAAGGGTGCATGAAGAATAAAATGTAAATCTCAGGAGGCAATGTTTTTATTAGCTGAAAGGTCAGTGAGTCATGCACTAAAAAAAGTTGAACTGCACCATGGCCAGTGTAGGTATGGCTGACAGTAGTAAAAGGGTGGAAAAATAGCCCAGGCATTAGCCTACTGGCTTTTCATTATGATTTAAAAAGCTGAGGAGGAGAAAAAAAGTGATTTTTCAGTTTTTCATGCACATAGCTTCATAATTGTTCATGTTGGCAGGAGCTTTAATAGATCAAAGAATTATACTTGTACCTAGGACTTGGAGAAACAAAAATCATCAAGATTTTTATTTTTAAGACATTATTTTCTTAAATGTTGAGTTTCCACCTACATTTACCAAATTTTGTCTTGAGTCTTTTCACACATAGTCACAGGCTACACAGTGGAGTTTTTCTCATCCTTATTTGTATGATCATTCTTGGTGCATCACGGTAATTGTGTGATGTTCTGGACCTCTTTATTAAATTCCTAGCTCAGATGTCAGTGATGCCAGTCATTTCTTCACTCTCCACAGTTTACCTGTACAAAAGCAAGAGCAAGCAGTTAATGCATGGTCTAAATAGACTTAACTATGCAATCCAAAGGCTACATAAAAGCCTTATTTATTTCAAACCCTGTGGCTGAAAAAACAAAACCAGAAACAAAACAAATAAATAAACCAAAACAAAAACCAAATTCAAGAAAAAGCCTTCTCCTCACCCATCCACACCTAATTTTTTTTCTTTCATCTACGGTCAGATTAGCAAGTCAGCACTGTCGATAAATAAACTAGAGAAGTTGTTTATTTTTATGTACTACTGAGAACAGTGTCGTCTTGTGGCCGTTCTCGTAGACTGTGTTGGTTTAACAAGCGTCCAACCCTTTTGTCTTGTTGTTTTTTGTCTTTCCTGCTCCCTGTCCCCTTGTTCCCACAGGCTGTGCGTTTGTCACATTTTCTACAAGGGCAATGGCACAGAATGCAATCAAAGCCATGCACCAGTCTCAGACCATGGAGGTACAGTACTGTATCATTTGCCCTTTCTTTGTTTTCTTTGTGCAAATGATTGCGAATGGTAAAGCCATGCTCTCCTGGATCAGATCAGACACATGACAATCACAGATTTAAATTTTTTACCAGCTCGCTCTACCTGTCTTTGTGAAGCTTCATTTTGCTTAAGCACCTGAAAGCACACAATGAGGTTGCTGTGTGGTATCCAAACACAGCTCTCAGATCCTTTTTCCAGTGGCATCAGCAGAAAATAAAAAGGCTGTGAAAACCGCTCCTCAGTCGTACTCAGAGCATATCTGATGAGTAAATTACCTCTATTTTTAAAGCACATACCCCCCGAAGAAAAATCTTAGCTTTTTTTAAACAGATTTCTAAGTGTTGTGGTTAGCAGTGCTCTGAGAAAAAGCTCAAGAGATTTAACCTGGCCACGCTGAGTTACTAGTGCATGTGTTTTTCTGCAAATAGAATCTCTTTTTAAGTTAATATAATTTTGCCTTCTTCATGTAGCCAATAAAAATGCTAATGATGACAGAGCATATCAAAGTGTGGCATTTCCTGCAGAGCACCATCGAGGCTGGCCCCTCACAAGCAACACTCTTTATTCCCTTCCAAACTGCCTCAATGGGCTCGTATTTTATCATGATGAGCAACTCAAAACTTTAAACTTTTTCACTTAATGTGACTATAGCTGCAGGCTAACAATCTGGTCATTGGAGTGGTTATCAAATGCCACGGCTTGTCTGGCAATCTCAAAACTTTTTTCAGTCTGTGATTTTTGTCATGGTCTTTCAGAATTTTGCACAAAAATCCGCACAAGTATGAAATCTTTACTTACTCTGGATCTTCTAGCTTATCATTGGAGAGTGCATGTTATACTGTATTATGTATATTGTATCTTCGTGTAGTGATGATTTTTCTCAGAGGTGGCATTGATGTTATGTGCTTTTTTTTTTTTTTTTTTTATTTCTTTTTCCACCAGGACCTTTCAATTTTATTTTTTTTCTCTCAGTGATTTTCCTTTGCAATGCTCTAGTCTCCCAAAGCATGCTGGGTGCTAAACAATCATTATTGCGTCATGTCGTTGAGCTGCTTTGTGTAACAAGCCAAGGGGGGAGACCAAGGGTGGGAGGGTGGACACAGGAGAAGGAGGAAAAGCTAAAAATCCAGCCAGTGCATGAAAATGTCACTAACTGTTTCCTGTATAGTACAAGTAATGATATTGGCATTGCAAAGCTATTGTCTTTCCAAACATCACATTTGAATTTGGTTGAGCTTTTTTTATAATCAATGTGTTTTCTTTTCAGTGCAATGCATTTTTAGACCCTGGGTATACAGTTTTAGATGAGAATCTGCCAATGAGATGAGAATAATTGAAATTATCTTTACTAGAAAGCTCCTGTTATGCAGTCTATGCAGTCTGACAGTATATTGTGAAAAAAACTGCCACTTTGAGTCGCTGAAATAATACGTGTAGTAATTTCTCTGCCATGCACTGCTCCTTTAATTCAGATCTATATGTTTTGCTGGGTTTGATTCCAAGTAAAAAGGAAATGTTTACTGGTAATACTGTGTTTTGCCTATATTTTCCATGTGTTTTAATGCATTTTTCTGTCTAGTAAAATGAATTGTACACAGGTCTACTTGAGAAGACAGTAAAATAAAAGACATAACACCTCCCAGACAAACTCCCCCATTCCTCTGTTGTATGCAGTACTTCAAAAGAGGCTGCATTTTGATGGGATATTCCTAGTGACGTTAGTTCTGTAGAAGAGTTAATCAAAATACATCTCAACACCTTTAGGGACGTCATCAATGAGATCCCCAAATTGGCAAGGCAATTCCAAATATTTTGCACTTTGAACATCTGGGTCTTTGTGTCAGTTGAGCTTAGGCTGAGAGTGCCTGCTTGGAAAGAAGCTGTACACCCTCCCACTCTGTGGGGGAGGAGCTCAGCGGAGTCTGTACCTACTGCCCTGACAACACACAGAAAAATATGAATGCAGCACCAGCTGTTGGGAAGAAAATGGCATTAAATGGCAAGGAGATACCAAGACACTGAATGAGGAAGGGAGATGCACCTTGTGTGTGTGCTTGGAGCTTCCTCTCAAGACAGAAAATGAAAGTGCATAAAACAGAAATCACCCTTTATGCAAAAAAAAAAATTTACTCACTTTTGCCAATACTCATCTAGTAAAAAGTTCACTTGGGTTGACGAGTGTTAAATGTCAACTCTCATCCTGAAACAGTCGTCCTTGGACACTTTTGTTTCATGTTCTTTCGCAAACAAAAATATGTAGTATGCAATTGCATTTCAACCCAATTACTACAGATATTTTTTTTCTGATTTCATTATTTTCAGTTCCTTAGCATGCATCATTGGCCAAGATGAATTTTCAAAGTGGGCTAAGAAAGAACAAAGGGGATGTTAAGTCCAGATGAACAGGTCTCATAGAATAATGCATTCTCTTGCTGCTCTTTTCACCTGACTTACTGGCCTGGTTAAATCAACAGATTTTAAAAATATAATTGCTGCTCTAGAGTGTTTGCTCTTCTCTCTCATTTCTATGGAGGTTTCTTTTTGTTTGTTCAAGGCATTCAAATGCAGCATCAGTAGAAGACACTAATTTGTTATCATGGAGTAAATCTGATACAAGAGTAACAACCCTTTTCTCATATAGAGCCACTTGCTAGATATAATTTCTGTCTTCAGAATGTTTGCTTTCTTGAAAATGATGAAGTGATGAAATATAGAGCAGACAGTGAAAAAATGAATTATAGATTCATAAATTGCAGAGATATTGTTTTTATACAATTTACTGACATTTAAGCATCCATA